GTGCCTGTGGGTGCTCATTGTGTGGCAGCTGCTGAGCTTTCTGCACAATCCTTCCTTTCTCCAGGGACCCACCAGGAAATGCTTAAAGATCATGTGGATCCTTGCAGGTCTAATCGCCATTTGTGAGCTGTTCCTTCCTCGTGCTGGCTGTGCTGAGGCTCCCCTCCCCAGCCCGTATCCCAGAGCCGGTCCCTGTCCTGCCGCAGTGTCCAAAGGCGGCCCCCCCGGCGGGCAGGGCCGGCAGCTCCACGGGGCCGGGCAGCGGCCGGGGCGTCCCGCAGCCTCCTGGGGGCCGGGGGCCACTGCCGGCCCTGCCCGGGGGGTGCTGGGCTCAGGCAGCGCCCGGCGCTGAGCCCCGGCTGCCCCACAGCCCCGGCCCGGCCCCACAGCTCCCCACAGGCCCCCAGCCCGTGCTCCCGGTGCCGCAGCTCTGCGCCCGCTCCTGCCGCTCCCAGCTCAGAGAAACCCCCTGAAATCCTCACCTCCTTGTTTTGCTGTCCTGGAAACAGGTGATGTAAAGGATCTGGATCAGCTGGCAAATTTTGAGGATAAGACAGTTCTGTAAAATATCCCAGTCCTCAGTATTTTTCTTTTCCTCTTCTTTGCCATCATCATTTTTTTTCCCCATAGATTCCTCCTGCTTCTTCTTGCTTCATAATCCTGCACATTCCCCTTCACCTAATCCCTTCCCAGCACACCACCACCATCCATTCCCTGTTGTCTAAATCCCTTCTGGACTTCCCTTATTGCCCCTCTGGGTGTCCATGCCCTCTGGGAGAATGTGCAAATGACTTCAACATGCTCCCAAGGGACCCTTCAGAGATATTTATGGATCATCATCCCTTTGGCCAGGACACCTTTCCAGCTTTCCCTGTTTACTCCCCGAAGATGCCACTGTAGTCACTGCTGAGATTTTCAGTGCTCTCTCCCTGCCGACTCTTGAGAGCCGCCCTGATCCGTCCCTCGTCTGTCTCCTGCTCACTCTCGGGTACCCAATCAATCCCCGGTGCCGCCGCCAGCCGAGGGAGCCGATCCCCCAAACTGGGTGAGGCACCTTCCTCTGCACTCACTGCCCACTGTCCCAGATGGTGGAAGGAATTGCAGAGGAGCCCCAAGATATGTGGAAAAATTGACATGTCCAGAGGTTTCTGTCCACAGAGAAAACAGAGGAGTCCTGTAAAAGTAATTTCAATCATAAAAAAGGGAAGAGGCCATGGGACATTTCCCATGGGGTTTCTCCAGTTGTTGGAGGACACAGCCTCCTTTTCATAATAATTTTTCCCGTCTACATCTCTCTCTCCCTTTCCTCACTGTCTGAAGTACTTAAGCGGTACAGACGTCCCAATGCACCTGCTACATAACCCCTTAATATGCACCCCACTTTTGTATAGCTGACCATATCGATGGCTCTTTTAAGTCTTTGTTCTTCTGGAAGTTCATGAATTTAGCAGGACCTTGGCTGAGCAGCAGTCTGTGTCATCAATTAATAACATTTTCTGCAACAGATGGCTTCTCCTGTCACTTTCTCCTGTACACGTCCCTGGCCCTATGTCCAATCAGATTCACAGGACCTGTTTGTAAAGACACTTTGGTCTTCTTCCTTTCCTGGGGTTCCCCCGTTTTTGGGTGTCATGGGGCGACTTTACCTTTAAGATAGCTTCAGGAGCTGGGAGGAAGTTGAAGCTGCGAGAGTATGATGGGAGTGTTTTCTCTTGACCAATTATCGGTCATTTCTAAGAATTGACAGCATTTTTGACCATTGAAAAGTGAGATCAACTTGTGAACACCACCTTAAGATGTAAAGCCAGGGTTCTCTTGTCCTCTTTGGTTTCTGGCTTCTGACGAGGTCACAGGGCTCTGTCTCAGCCTCCTCCCCCCCCACCTCCAGGCCAGGCAAGGCTGCAGAGGGTGGGGTGGGGGGAGAAATGGAGCCGGCCGGCCTGACTTGGTTTGCAGTTTCTGCTGCTGGATTGAAACCTGACACTATGAACATCTGCAGCTTTTCCAAGACTTTAACTCTTTTACTACCTGCATGAGACTTGCAGATTACTCCTTTTTCCCAGAGAGACAGAGAGAGAGAGAGACAGTCAACATGAAGAAGACATAATAAAACCATCAAAGACAGTGAAGAAAAGAGTTAAGTTTTAGATGGGGAAGAGAGAATAAGGAGATGCTTTATAAGCTGAAATATTTTTCTGTTAAAGCTATGGAGATGGACAATAGTTTTCTGAAAAAACTCCTTTAATTCATGACAGAGTATATTGGGAGGAATGGAGGGTTCAAGGTGTGGATTTTGAGCTAAAAGTAGAGTAATTGTGATACAGTGAGGTGCTGGAACAGAGAGGGGAGAAGTAATAGTTGAAGATTCGGGGCCGTTGTAGAGGCAAAGAGAAAAATTCTTTTTCCAGGGAGGCTCACAGAGACAGATAAAGAGAACTTTTGCCTTTGAATAACTCATCCTTAAAAAATGACATCCCTAGACTCATGACCCATAACACACCTCAGAGTGATGGGAAATGGGAGGAGACAACTGATGGCAGATTTCTGGGCAGCTGGCATCAGAAAAATAGAAAGCTATAACAGAAATCGTTTTCTTGTGAGAAACTCAGTAGATTAGCAGAAGACTTCTGTTTCTCTACAAAGACTGATGAAAAGACTCTAGCAGGAATTGGGACTGTTTTAACCACCAAAGTTCCAAAGTTTTTTGTCTCTATGTTGTCATGTGAACAAGGGAATGGTGGGTAGTGGGGGATAAAGGGGTTTTCTGGAGGTTTATTCTGGTGTTCTTATTCTTGTAGTTTTTGTTAATAAACTGTCTTTATTCCATTTAAGTTTTAAGCCTGTTTTGCTCTTGTTCTAATCCATATCTCACAGCAAGAAATAAGTAAGTTTTCTAGTAATTTTTTAGCTACTGCTTTTAAACCACGACATCGGGCCATCCCCCCTGGAGCAGGGTGTCCCCCCTTGGTGCAGGTGCAGGGCTCAGGCAGGGCTGAGCCAATCAGAGCGCGCGGCGCTGATGACTCATCAGTGTCCAGGCAGAGCCGCAGCTGCCAGCGTTCCCCAGCTGGAGCCCAGCTGCGCCCCTCCCCCCCGGGCCTTGGCGCCCCCCTGGAGGGGAATTTGGGGAGGTGGGAGGGGGGAGCACCAAGGCCGGGCCCCCCCGCGCTGTGGTGGCGGGAGCGGCTGCAGTGGGGAGCGAGTGCGGGCGGAAGCGGCCGAGAGCCCAGCGCTGCCCCAGGCCGAGCTGGCCCAGCTCCATCCGTGCCCTTGCGGTGGGATGTTGTGGGACTGGGGGGGAAGAGGGAGGCGGCAGTGGGTGCTGGGCCTGGGGGCAGGAGGAGAAGGGAAGGAGAAGCAGGGTTGAAGAACCTTCAAAACAGTCAACCGATGCCCATGGGAGGAGAAGGTGGGATTGCACAGGAGGAATAGTAGGAGGAAGAGGAATGTGAGGAAGAGTAGGGACACAAGAAAAGAAGAGGAGGAGCACAAACAGGAAGCACCGCAAGGTTCCACCCCTCCCTGCATCTGCAGCCTCCTCCCCTCTGTTGCCCCCTGCCCCCCACCCCCGCTTCATCCCTCCAGGCAGCAGGTGGCAGAAGAGGAGGATCCACGATTTTCAACAGGGCTGAATATCGGTGTTTCTGAGCTTTATTGGGCTAAATGTTGGTGCTTTGATTTTTTTTTTTTTTTGTGGGGGCTGAATCTTTATATTTTGGAGGGGGATTGGATAACTCTTTATGTTTGGGGAGTTTTTGATTTGTGCCTTGACATTTGGAGGGTTTTTGGGCTGAATCCTTATAGACACAAGATGTTCTTATAGACACAAGATGCCCATTGACTTGCTGAGATGACCTTGGGCAAGGAGGAACCCCCAGCCCAAGACAATATTCTCTTGTTTTTTTCCCCAAACCAGGATTTTTCATTCCCAAGGCATACCAGGATGGAGGAGGAGGAAAAGCCCTGGAGATTCTGCACAAGGAGGGGCTGCAAACCCAGCCCAGGGAGCAGTGTAGAGGAAAGACCCACCTTGTGATGGGAAGGTGGACAGATATCGAGCTGGAGGAGAAGCTACACAAGTGCCTGGAATGTTGGAAGGGTTTCAGCCAGAGCTCCAACCTGATCTGGAGCCAGGTAACCCACTCTGGAGGAAAGTCCTACGAGTCTGGGGAATGTGGGATGAACCTCAGGAACATCCCTACTCTGTCTGAACATCAGGTGTTCCATGCTGGAGAACAGCCCTACATCTGCTTGGAATGTCAGAAGAGATCTGGGTGGACCTCTGCCCTGAGAAAACACCAGCACATCCACAATGGGGAGGCCCCATGAGTGCCCCGAGTGTGGGAAGAGCTTCGTGTGCTGCTCCAGCTCCATCTCCCATGGAAGGATCCACTGGATGGATCCACATGGAAGGATCATCCATTGGATGATCCCCAGGGATCCCTGTTGGGCAGAGCTATGGGGATTCCTGTTCCAGGTGACCCCTATTGGGTTTAGGGAAGGTGTTAGAGAGATTTCTTGTCCTTGTCCTGCTGTGATTTGATTGGTAATAAATTCCCCTCCTGTGCCCAGGCTGGGTCTGTTGTGCCCCTGCCGGTGCTCGGGGCGGGATCTCTCCCGGTCCTTTTCCTCAGCCAATCAGAGAAGGCACTGAAATAATTGAGCCAATCAGCGCGCAGCGCACTGATGACTCCCCAGTTGCCAGGCAGTCCCACAGCCCCCAGAGCTCCCCAGCTGGATTCCAACCCGCCCTGCCCTTGCCCCCAGCGCCGCCCGCCAGGGGAATCTGGGGAGGGGGGAGGTGTCAGAACCTGTCCGGCACTGGCCATGGGGCGTGTGGCGGTAGCTGGGGCCCTACTGGTGGCACTGGGAGCCCCCCTGGCTGTGGGCGTAAAGCTCTCGGGTGAGAAGGAGGGGTGGAAAGAGAAGTGGTGGCACGGTGGGAAGTGTGGGGAAAGACAGGGAAATGGGGTGGGACAGGGAAATGGGTGGTGGGACCCCCAAACAAATGTTCTGGGAGTGGTGGGCTGGCTACCGGGAAGTTATGGGAAAGAGGGAGGAAAATACGGAAAGAAGTGGAAAAGAGGAACTGGAACCGTGGGAAGAAGGGTCCCATGGCGGCTGTGGGGCACTGAGAGTGCAGAGTTGGGGTTGCCCCAACTCAAGTAGCTCTTGACTACTGGGGAATGCTGGGGGAATATCCCCGGACCTGTGTCTATAGGTGTGTTTTAGGAGATGGATAAGTCTGAGTGTCACTTCATTAAGTGCACCGACCATACAAAGTTCATGGAGAGGAACATCTACACCCAGGAGCAGCTCCTGCATTTCAACAGCGATGTGGGGCTGTTTGTGGGGGACACCTCCTTTGGGAAGAAGGTTGCCAGGTACTGCAACAGCAACCTGAAATGTATGGAGCACAGACAGGCTGCAGTGGACAGGCACTGCTGACACAACTACAAATTATCCACCGTGTTCCTCGTGGAGTGCAGAGGTGAGTGTGGGGCAGTGTGTGCCCTCAGACCCTGCTCTGGGAATGACCCTGGAGCCACTCAAGACCTCCCTGGGAATCATCCCAGAGCCCTCAGCCCACCTTGTGTCCATCCCTGTGGCCTCCTGCCCTCTCACCCCGACTGACTCTGGTAGCTCTGCCAGTCCATCCCAGTCTCTCCCACTGCTCCCCCACGTTTCCATCTCAGCCCTCCCAGTCCCTCTGAGAGTCCCTTCCAATTCCTCTCAGTCCACAGCCATTCTATTCTCAGTCCACTCCCAGTCCTTCTAACTCCA